TCCCAGAACATAAACTGCAGCACGAAGGCCCCCAATGTTCACCCAGACTGTATCCACCTTTCGCCATACATGTCGCATTCCAGATAATGCCTTGGTAAAGCACTTCGTGTCCTGAGTAAGAAGTACAGCTCTGCCTGTTGCAGGTGTGCAGACACGGCTCATCTCCCGTAGGCAAGCTGGATAAAGGTTCCAGTTTCTCTTCTTGGAGCCCATCCTTTTTCCAAACGGCAAATCTGTTACAATAATATCCACTGAGCCTGTTCTTAAGGGCAGATTGCAGATATCCCATTGAACAGCATCTATGGGCAAACCCCACGATGGTTTCCCTTCTTTATTTTGGCTCTTGGTCAATAAAGATGAGATGTTATTTGCTGCTCTATTTACAGCCAGTGGATTATTATCGCCAGCAATATGGTAACAGTCAGACCATTCAGTCGCTCCCTCTATTGGTATTGCCCCTGTTCCACACATTGGATCGACTATTATATCATAAGGCAGAGGATCACAGAGCCTGAGCATCCCATAGGCAAGAGTTGATCTAAGAGTTGTAGGTCCAAAATGTGTGATATTTCTTCGGTGGAGACTCTCTTCAGTCAAAGCAATGCCCACAATGATTTCATTACCATGGATATTCAAAAGAACCTCCACATCAAAGTTGGTCATGTCAGCCTTCCACTGAAAATAATCTTGAATAGCACCTCCAAAATCTCTTGCAGCCTCATTGGAGGTAAAGCAATGTTTCTCTCCTGCCCTGTTGCATGTGACTCTAAATTTTAGCACTTGAGGCTCAGTTTCTTGTTTTGCACTCTCATCAGTCTCATCTTTGCAAGATGCCAAATCATCACCTACCAATGTAGATATCTCCTCTTTGATGGCTGGATTTTCATAATAATCTAAGATATGTGAATCTAAAGCATTGCCAGGCAACTCTTTTTTAACATCGGCCTCATCTGTTTTGTCTTCTTTTCCATTATCAATCTTCCCTTTACTTGAATTTTGATTTATCTTTTTGTGCTTTGTTTTTTTTTTCTTAAAAGTGGTGTTAATTTTCCATACTTTCAAAGGCTCTGACCATGGGAGTTTTCTAGCCAAGTCTTCAAAATCCTTTAGAACTTCTTCCTATGGAGTCCTGACTCTGGGGCATCTCCTGGAAGGAAGGGGAGAGGGAAAGGGCTGGTGTTGTTCTGTGCCGACTGTGGTGCCCGCGTGAGGAGAGGAGAGTCAGCTTGGGGGACACCAGTGCAGAAACCCCCGGCACGCCATCCTGAACGGCCCACCTTCATCTTCTTAATGGCACTTTGATTCAAGAAGCTCTTGCTCATTGATTGTTCTGTCCATGCTTTATTATTTTATCCATAGGATGATTAGCACAACAGTGGCATGTCTGTCCCCTCCCAGAAGTAGCAATAAGATCTATCCCATATTAACATCATGATTTATCATTGATGTTCATATCATGGACACAGATTTGGAACCAGAGACATAAGCATGTATTTGAGGTCTCCCACTTCTAGCTATGCTACTTAGGTTAAGTACCTCATCAGTCTGAACTTCTTATTTGTCAATGGTAATAGGAAAGCATAACTGGACCTACCTTTGGTGTTTGTATTAAGTGATAGGATGATACAAAATGCTTGGCAAAGTACACTAGTGTCCTAAAGTGGTAGCATACCTCAGCTTTATCATCTTATACTTGTATGGCTATTAATTTATTATCATCTAAATGAACCTCACAATAACCCCATGAGGTGGGCATAATAGCTCTCATTCTGGGGTCACTCCTAACAGTGGGAGGAGATGTATATGAAAAAAGCATATAAATAAATATGAATATATGTTATAACATCTTATTTCTTACCTCATGTCAATCTGAGGCGGTATTTTGTACCTCCTATGAACTAAGAATGCTTTTTCCATTTTTTTTTTTTTTTT